ATAAGTAATCCATATCTACACAACTAAAGATAATATGTCAATGATTAATCGACCTAAATACGAAAATAGTTCGTATCTTGCAGGTACTTGTTCGTAGTAACCGGAAGGTCGTTAGTCAAGTTAGCTTTATTTTACTCGTTATAGCCGATAACTCGTAATAACCATACTCGTTGTAAACGTATATTTTAACATACAATCATATGCGCTCGTGCCGGGACCTAACGTTTTGCTTGTTGTAAGCAGTATCTCGTTCTAAGCGATGCTCGTTATAGTGATTTCTACTGTACATTGAATATAAACAGATTATTTGAAAAATAAGATTATAAATACTTTTAGACGAAAGTAGGTAAATTTATTCGTAATGTTCGCTGGACGTATCAAATTAATGAATACTGATTAGTAATGAAAAATTAATTTTCCAAACACTTAATAATATGCCCTCCACAACAAGATGTTTGTTGTTTTTGTAAGACTGAATGTATCTAAATTGTATACATACCTAGGTACAACAATTATTTATTAAATTCTTATTTTTATTTAATAGTTATACTGCTCAAGTACAAAACTAAAGGTTATTTTAGTACCGTCGATTGGGGGAACATTGGCCTTTCGCAGGCAACATTGGCCCATTCGTTGGAAAGTGATTCATAACGTTATAACTGATAAGCCAATAATCCGAAATCATTGTTTATAGTGTCATTGTGTAGCTCTGTTATCTGGTATTAATTGTAACCCGGTTATAATGTTGTTATCATTATCATTTTTTCTTATCAGTGTTGAAAAAAAATCACGTCTTGCTAACGATAAAATACCGTTTTCGAACTTTTATTCGTGTGGCAGACTTACAACGTTTTGGAAATTTAGTAAGTGTACACTATATTATACAACTTTGTTAAGACATAAGAAATTGACATTAAAATAAGAAATCGTTATTACAATTTTTTTTAACACGTGATTTTCAATTTTGTCAAACATTGTCCCAAAATTTGGGTTAACTTTGGCCCAAGACATCCATGGGCTAATGTTACCCAACCATTATTTTTAATTAATTGTAATAGGTACCTGTTATTTTTTAAATTTCAGAAATCAATTTCAATCCTAACGTTAAAATATGGCACGAATAAAAAAGAAACCTCTGGGAACAAGACATTATGTCAATTACTCGGACGAAGTATTAAACGAATGTTTGCAAGAAATTAATTCTGGTCGGATGACACAACGAGCAGCAAAGATAATCCAACCGTTTTAATCGGAGACAATCTTGCGTCACACATAAACATTAAAGTTTTACAACTCTGTGACCAATATAATATAAAATTTGTTTGCCTACCACCTAACACAACCCACCTTACTCAACCTCTTGATGTGGCATTTTTTGCTCCAATGAAAAAAGTATGGAGAAATATTCTAACCAAATGGAAAGAATCTAAAACTGGATCCAAATACTCAACGATTCCCAAAGATTTGTTTCCAACATTATTAAGCGAATTAATTAATAACATTAAGACAAATGCAGGGCACAATTTAATATCAGGTTTCAAGAAATGTGGAATTTTTCCTTTTAATAAACAAACGCTATTAGATCGACTTTAAACAAAGATAAAATTGTAAAATAAATTTAAAAATTATGTTTTTATTATTTTTGTTTTTATTTAGTAGTTTAACATTGGCCTAAGTCATTAAATACATGATTTTCTATGAGTTCAAACACTTGGGACATAGTTACACTATTTACAGGTAACTTTGGCCCAAATTTTCCAAAAAAAATTTTTGATATAAGGTAAACATTTAAAATTTTTATATACTATTAAATACATTGGCTTACTCATACTTAAGACGGAAAATACAAATATACATAATTTTTAACAAAATATCATTCCAAATTTTGGAAGACATTTAAAAAAACATAAAATATTGGGACAATGTTCCCCCAATCGACGGTATTTAAACGAAACCTATCATTTTTAGATTTGTAAATATTGGATATGACCAAAAGATAATTTCAGATAAAAATCTAAATTTGCGATTTTGAAGGTTTATGTGGATGTACAGTGGGATATTTTCATAAAAACCTGGCCAAAATATAAAGATTAATCTGAAATTGAGTTTTTTTCTCTATGATGACTACTATTTTACATTTAGATTTAATATTGTAAACTCACTAATAAACTATTACAATAATTGAAAAATACAAATGTTCTGGGCATTTTGTTAACTACCTACCTAAACTTTTCATTAAACTGTAAAAAAAGATTGTCTGGATCTATCTTGGAAGTCTACTAAATATAATGGTGAAGCTTGTATTTGTATATTTTGTTTCAATCCATGTAGTTATAGTTAAAATTGTATACTGATTTGATATTTTATAAATATATATACCTACATTATAAAATAATGCATGCCTCTAGCTCTAAGTAACGAGTCTATTATTTTAAATGTGAAAACGGCTGTAGAAAACATAATAATATCAGCTTAGTTAAATTTGGAAAACTTCTTGTACACCGTAATACCGACCACAAACAGTTACAGGACTCGTCTGTAATACCATATTTTGAGTCAGGGTTTGCCAACCTTTTTATAAAAGGTGAGAAACATTAAAAATTTCAAGTTACTCATAGTGAAAAAATTTGAAGATTGAAGATATATTATGTCGATTTTGAATTTTTTATAATATACATTAAATATTATAATACCTCCCTGTCGATATATTATTGACATAGGAGTGCGCAAGAATTTTTCACAGGGTGTGCGGAATTATTTTAGTAGGGGTTACTTGACCTACCATAAAACAGTAAGATACATATTGTCTCTATATTATAATAATTAGTTTATAATAAATTTAAATTTTAAAATAAAACAATTACTAGTTTTCATATTACATATAAAACTAAATTTACTTAATATACACTAGTCAATAGCATTTTTATTTATAATGGTAATCTTATTTAGATTGGTGTAAGTGTTTAAACTCATCAATAGTTTCCTCATATACTCTTTAATGGTTATAAAATAAAAACAATTACTTAGTTTTAAATTATAATTTAACTAAAACTTTTAATATTGGTACAACAAAAAATAATGACTAGCTACATAACACAATATTTAGGATATACAGAGGTGGGGTGATAAGTGATATAAATAATTAAACAATGTTTCATCAACAATTTAAAGTAGGCACACATTTTTGCAGGATGTGCAGCTGCAGACCCCGTGCGCACGCCTATGATTATTGATAATTGCTCATTCAAAAATCGCATGTTGTTAAAATATTGTTTTTATATTACTAACTAATATGTAATTATTAATTTATTAATTATTATACATTATTATTTATCGTGGTTGAAATTTTATTTTTATTTTATTGAAAATTGAAATTCTAACAATAATTACTATTACAATTAGGTATGAATTTTCTATGATATTATTATGTTACCATAGACTTTAGTTTAATGTAGGTAACCTGTTTCTCGTGGCTAATACTTCTTTAGCTTTTTAATTTTGGGCTATATCTCATAGGCGCAATTTCAACTTTTAACTTGGGGGGGCTGAATATAGGTATATTTAAGGCAAGCAGACCATTGCAATATAGCATATTAAAATTGTATGTCCTAAGTTTTATGGGTGGGCTAAGGCTAAGTTTGGGGGGGAGGTAGCCCCCCTTTTATTTGCAAATATGGTATACCTACTATATAATATAATATACTGAAGCAGCATAGAGCTTGTAATCAAAATGAAAATTTTCTATTTTAATTTTAGTTTCACTTACCTATCGATATGTTTTTTCTGACTTAAATTTAAAATAATAAACCTATTGATTTTGTAACTGTATGATTTGTATAATATTACATAATATCGATTTACATATTTGTTTTATGATTTGCATAATTACATTTTTAATAAAATTTCCCTCTTTTTCGACATAAAATACCTATCGATTTTACATTTCTACGATTTGAATTTTGACCAACGTGACTAGAAAAGTCAAAAGCATATTTGATATGTATAAAGGCAAAAATCAGAAAATCTTTATTGCAAAAAGGTCAGTAGATTGCCAAAAAAAAAAAAGAGGAGAAACCTTGCCGAAAATTCAAAAATACAGTGTAGAAGTAGGTATTTATGGGGAGAACCTAATTGAAGCAACTTTTAAAAGTGGATTCCAGTGTTTCACAAACTACAACAGGTCGGTAGGCTGTTAACATTTTTTTTTCGGCTTAGCTATGGGAATGATATAAAAACATACCTAGAAATATGAGCTACAGAGCATTGAGGATATAGAGAAGTATTACCAGAGGCTAGAGTATAAATAATACCAATATAAAACATTCAATAAATCAATAAAAAAAAATAAAGTATTATTATTTATTACATTATTACATTAACAACAATTATTTTCCTATTCAGTCTGTTATTACCCACTTAATCATTGTCAAATAGACAATCAATAAGGAGTTAATTCTGTATTGAACGTAACAGAAAATTGTTATTAGTGACAAAAAATAATAATTAATATAAACCTAATTAAAAATTACCTTACATATTATATTAAAGATAACTTGAGTAATTAAATCACACGGAAAAAATAAAATGAATGTAGCCAAAAAAAATGGGACAACCATTACTTGATAGTTGTTAATAACATCAAAAATTAATTTTTATGTTTTTAATTTTTATTAATGATTAACAGACAAAATAATAGATCTGTTGTAAAACTTAATTTTAAAACTTTATAAACTTGATTCCTAATTTAATCCTTACACTGTTATTTGTATTTTTACAAAATATGTCTATACAATTGAAAATATATTTTAAACAGATTTAAAAATCTACTAAAGATTTACTTTAAAAATATGAACTACTTTGTGATCAAATCACATTTTAATTGTCGTTCATTATGAATAAAATTACATATATGATGTATCAACAAAAAATGAAAATAATATAACACCCATTGTTTTAAAAATTATCTATAATATTAAATAATTTTCAATTGTACAGTTTAATTACGTAGCTGGTGAAGCTGAGCCGGATCTAGAACCCGATCTACTCCTGAAAATAAAAAAATTATTGTTACAAAATCAGTAAATTAAATGTTTTTCAACATACTACTATAAAGTTACACAATCCAGATTTTAAATAGGGAATCTAAAAATATGATCAAACATGAAGTATTTTCATAGGCGTGCGCAGGAATTTTGTATGGGGTGTGCCATGAAGAAAATTCGGCCGCTTTCCCTTATATGGGCTTAAGCAAATCTAACCTAACCTTAATCTAAAAAAGGATAAATTTAATGCAAAATATCAATTCATAAAAATATATATTGATTAAATGTTGTGCTTCACAAAATGTTGATATATTTTTACAATAAAGTATATACCTATATACCTAATGGCTATTAACCTACATTAGAACATAAAAAATAAAATTATCCAGAGAACCACGAAGTTGTTCAGTCTCTTTTTTCCTATTTATCTTAATTCTGAGTTTCTCAGTACCCCCCATATCTTTCCTTTTTACTCCTGACATAATGTCTAATGTATTTAACACATACAACTCAAGGCTCAATATGCACACAAATACACAATTTAAAATAAACGTGAATACTCGTCCTTAATTATGTATATAGTGTAAATTGTATAAAATCGACATTCGATACTAAAACAATTCAGAAACGGCAGTCCTGAGTCTATATAGTACTTAGTACTCAACTATTATTTATTACAAAAACAAAATACGTGTATAGATAATATCGACAAATGACAATCGACATCTTATCGTATAAAATGTATCTATTATGAATGTGATACCATCGATGTGTGATACAATTATACAAATATACAATACACGCCTTGGTAGTAAATTTAGTTGATATGGCATAATGATATCACTGGTTAGATAATGGTTTGATTTATTGGTTATTTAAAGTTGTTCATAGCGTTCATACCATCATACATTAACCTTGGCATATTGTCTGTATTATCATTTTTGCTAGAGTGCCTAATTTATTTTCTCTAATTTTTACTATTTGTAGCTTAAAATTTAAACTAAGTCCCTGAATGAATAAAAGTGTTGTACAAAAAGCCAAGGGCCACGGGATGTGCCACGGCACACCTGGCACACCCTGTACGCACGCCTATGAGTATTTTAACATTCAGTAAAAGAAATACAGCCTTTTAAGTTTTATAAACTAATTAAAAATATTATATACCATAGTGAACCACCTAATAATGGTCAACCCAGGGCACTACAAAAATTTAAATTATTAAAAAGAATGGAAAAAGCAATTTAATTTACATTGATAAAGGTTTCAAATGTATTTATATTATTTTTAATCATTGAGAAATTTAACCAAAAACTAATGTACACTGGTATAGTTTTATTGATTTTCTACAAAATAAATAATAATTAAAAAAAATATGGAAATGTATACAAAATATATTTTGAGCTAAGACATATTTCATATTATAATCACTGAATTTGTGAACCATAAAAATCTATATTTACCTAGATCTAGAAGGAGATCTGCTGGCAGATTTGGAGTGCGAATTGGATGCAGATCTACTTCCTGAATGAGCTGGTGAATTAGAAGCAGAACGACTACCAGATTTTGATCGAGCTGGTGATCTTGATTTACTACGAGATTGTGAACGTGATTTGCTGCCAGATGCTGAGCGAGACCTAGATCGGCTATTCGATCTCGAATGACTTCGTGAAGGCGAATGACTTCCTGAACGTGATCGACTGCCAGAATGTGAACGGCTTCGAGATCGAGATTTACTACCTGAATGTGATCTAGATCTTGAACGACTGCGTGAAACACTTTTAGATTTTGATCTAGACCTACGTGAACCAGACCGAGATCTTGATGGACTTCTGGATTTACGGCTACCGGAACGTGAGCGAGAACGAGACTCTGAGCTATAAATTAATAAAATTAATTATTGTGGTGATGTAGAAAATCATAATAAAATGGTATGTAATATGTACAAATGATATCAATGTATCATGTAACAAACAAATAGTACTTACCTTGAACGTGATCTAGCATTCTTCGAACTACTGAAAAAATATATTAAATATTATGTTTAACAAATAAGTTACAACTTTAATAATTTATAATAATAAGAAAGTATTATACTAACTGGCCAGAAATTCGTTTTTTTACTTCACCGTCGCTACTATCATCCTCACTAGTAGATATAGTTGCTTTGGATACAACTCTAAGTTTCTGTTTAGATGATAACATGGGTCCTTTTTTATTACTTGTAGACTAAACACATAATGTTTTAGCTATTAAACTGTTTTGTTCGTGTACAAATTTAAATAAAAAAACTTACTGAACGGCCTTTCTTTGATGCAATTTTATCACTTGCACCAGATCCTCCTGATGCAACACTATCTCTCCTTCGTTTAGATCCTCCTCTTTTTTTCTTTTCTTTATCACCACCAGTACCACCACTACATTAAAATAATAAATAATACATTTTATTCAATTATAATAAACATATTTTTTAATTGAGTGCTTGTAGATATTTTTTAATATGAACCAAAATCTACTAAATGTTTATTTAGCTCTGTACTTGGCACATGTAACAACAATATAAAATAAGTATTTTTTTTATAAAGTAAATATATATGGTAGGATTTGAGTTTTATTTAATTCTGATTTAGTGTATGTTTGAATTCCATAATTTAATGGTTATATTGGAGATAGACAGAAGATTA